GGTTCTATGGCCGCAGATGTTTCTCTGAGTCGCACACTGGTTTATTGGAGGGAGCGCGTTGAATTCCACACCTTGAGGCCGACAAAGGGCGGCGTCGTGTGCGGCGCTGGAGGGTTAGCCGAGCAAAAGCCACAGCGACCGACGCTGTGGGTCGCGCGACTGTGCAAGTCGAGTTGTGGGAGCGGTGCGCGCTGCCGATCTCAGATCTCGGATGTGCGCAGCAAGGGATCTCGGATGGGATCTCGTCGGATGGATCTCTTCTGGTCGATCCATCCATTGGGCCGAAGTTACATTTTTCGGCGAGAGCGACCGCATGGCAGAAGTGCAAAAGTGCAATTTTTGCATGCAGCTCCACCGCCGTTGGGTCGGAGTGTCGGAACGCAGCGCGTCGCAGCGCGTCGCAGCACCTCATGCACCACCTCATGCACCCACCTCGCCCTGCCAAGCCTGCACAATTTGAGCGCAAACCCGGTGGGATTGGGTGGGCTCGCGTCGGGGTCGTGTGCCGGATGGCAGCCGAGACGTGCAAACAGGGTTCGGCATGCGTGCCTGAAGCCCCACCTGCAGTCGAGCAGCCCCTTGCCTTGGACACCTCATCCCCACCTGCCATGGCATTCCGCTCGTCTCGCATCGGCGCGACTCCCGCACTGAAACCTTGGGCCCCTTCCTCGTACCCCTCTCCCCCCTCCCCCTTCCCCCTTTGGCACCACCGCCTTTCTGTTTGAACAACATCGATCGACGCCACAACCAACTTGCTTCGACGCCCAAACCATGCGCCATTTCGAAACAGCGGCACGCCGTATCGCCTTGCGCTAGCTCCTCGCCCTGCACCGCCCGCACCCCGCTTCGATAACCCCATCGACCACGCTAGCGAGGGAGATCCAGGCGTCGCGCTTTGACACGTCAATCGTCGGTGTGGCGCATCTCCAGCCCAAGAAGCGCAGCACAGGCCTCACCCACATGGATCAGCCGCAGCCACAGCAAGCACCAGCACCCCATCAGATCTCCTAGAACCGCGCTGCTCGTTCCGCCTAGAACAGCTCTCGGACCCCGCCGTTCAGGCCTCCTCCCCGGCTTGGCTCCGCGCAGCCCCCACAGTCGTTCTTTGCATTCGTCTACGGCCACCTCCTATGCACACCACAGCCACCCCTGCCCAAACGTGTCGCCCTGTAACGGCGCGTATCATGCCACCCGCCCTCCACCATCGCCAAACATGAGCGCAGCGTCTGGAAACATGGCCGGCTTCGGCGCGCGCAAGTTTGCCCAGGACATGTACCAACAGAGCAGCGTCCAATCATACCCCACCGCACACTACGACCACACCAACCAGTACTATCCAGACAGCAGCCAGTGGGCACAACCAGCCCCGGCTCCAACTGTCGACCATCGTCACTACAATTCCAACGGCGCGTCCAGCCATAGCTCCAACGCATCCTACGGCGGCCGGTCGGCTCAGACAACGCGCACCTACCGTCGGGACGAATACAGTCAGCAACAATACACCACCTCGGCCACCACATCTGCAAAGCCCGCCCCGCCACCAGCTGCGCGCACACGCGCTCCCGTCGCAAGAGCCCCTGCGAGATCCGACACGCTGCAGTCGTCAGCTACGGACTCGACGGTCGGTCTAGCCTACGCGCAGAGCAACGACAGCGCGTACGGCCAACAAATCGCGTACGAGTCCAACGACAGCAGGTATCGCAGCAACGACAGCCTCTTCCCACCAAGCCATCGTTCGCCGGCGACGCATCACCCGCCAGGCAGGACTGCGGACCGCACTACCGTCTACGACGACAACTACGAGGAGCCCGTCTACTCGAATACGGTCGACGAGATGTTCCGCGCCTCGTCGCCCGCATCGGCGACGCGCGGCGACGAGTCGATCGACGTCTCGTTCACCATCGTGCGTGCCACGGTGTTCGAGCCCGTGCTGCCCAAGGCAAAGTGCGCCGACTGCGGCGACTCGCTCGACTTTGAAGAGCTCGCCAACCACACCTGCCAGCCAGCCAGCGCATCCAAGTTGCCGCTGCTCACGATCCAAGTGCCGCCGTCGTCGAGCAGCTCGGCGGTGTCGTCCACCGCCACCAGCCCCGCCATCGCCACGCCGCGATCGCCGTTCTTTGACAGGTACGACCACCTGATCAGCCAGAGCGGCCCGGCGAGCCCGGCGCTCCTGGGTTGCGCCAGTCCAACCGTCGAGGTCAAGCAGCGCGACGACGAGACGCCCACCGCCCACGCCGTCAAGATCCTCGGAACGCACGCCGCAGTCAAGGTGTCGAGCATACAAACCTCGCAGGCGGTGCATCTCAAGGCCGACAGATCACCACCCGTCCAGCCGCCGCAGATGCAGCGCTCGGCGAGCGACACGGATGCCGACGCCGTCGCAGCCGCACGCAGAAGGATGATCGAGCAACAGAGGGCGGCCAAGAAGAAGGACATCATGGCGAATACCATGCCGCGAGCAGCCACCACCCCGAGCCTGTACAAGCCCGAGGCTGCGGTTGCGCAAGCGGCGGGTGCGGCTGCGAGGTCAATGTCGACGCGAGTGGGCGCAGCCAACGGCGGAACCAGTCGGCTCTCGGCGTCCGAGGCACAGCATGCCAAGAAGGAATCGTCATCATCCATCTCGTCCACGGCCACTGATTCTTCCGGGCGTCAGCGAGCGTACGTCGGCAAGGCCTCGAGCACGGCCAACATCACGCCGAGTTCGAGCTACGAACGCATCGAGTCGCACTCGACGCCGACCAAGCCGATGCGCGATCGTGCACCCGTGGATCTGAGCAGCATCGAAGAGATGATGAAGGGCCTCACTGCCAGTCCCGAGCCTCTGCAGCGGATGCTTGGGGATGCAGGGCGGAGCGAGCGCGAGCGTGCGCTGGAGTTGGAGCTGGAGCGGCTGCGCGACAAGGAGCGCACGCGGCAGCTGCAGGCGCTGCGGCTTAGGGAGAAGAAGCGCAAGGAGCGTGCGGCGAAGCGATGCTGCGTGTGCGACTGCTCGCTCTCGTCGAGCCGCACGCCATTTGTGGAGCGCGACGGCAAGCTGCTGTGTGCACGCGACTGGAAGGAGCTCTACCTGCCCAAGTGTCGCAAGTGCAACCTCAGCGTGGAAAAGGGGGCGGTCAAGTCGTCGGATGGAGCGCTGCGCGGCGTGTTTCACCGCGCGTGCTTTGCGTGTGCGGCGTGCGAGGCGCCGTTTGCGGACGGAAGCTTCTACGTGTTCAACAACCAGCCGTACTGCGGCCGCCACTACCACCGGCTCAACGGCAGCCTCTGCCGCGAGTGCGAGGCTGGCATCGAGGGCGACTGCAGGCAGACCGACACGGGCGACCGATTCCACCCACACTGCTTCAGCTGCCAGTACGCCTCCAAGAACGGCGCGTGCAGCCAGCCGCTGGCAGAGTACTACATGGTCGGAGGCCAGCGGCTCTGCGAGCGCCACGCGGACAAGGTCGGCCAAAGACTCGCCAAGGCGGGTCAGAGGCAGCACGACCTGCGCGCGCACAAGCGCATGACCATGCTCCACAGTCTGAGGTGAGCGCTGGTCCAGATACCCATATACCAATACCCATGGTTTCGAGTCAACCTGATCCGTCTGCACAGTGTGATGCGAGGAACGATGACGGCTGGCGATGAGGAGGCTCGAGTGGGATTTTAGAGTCTGTTACACCGCCCTTTTCTCTGTGTCGGATTTTTATTCGTGACGCGCGTGTGTGCGAGAGTGGGAATGTGGCACGGATGCACACACGCAGCTGCCTGCCAAAGCCGTGGCCGCTCGGCTCGCCGATGCAATCGAACCCAAAGGGGGCAGCAGAGCGGCAGCAGCTCAGTCGCGGCTACGGCACCCGCACCCGCTCATACCAGACACAAAGAGAGTGAGAGAGAGAGACGCCCCGGCCGCCCTGGCAACCCCACCTTGACCCTCACTCTCTCACTCTCTCACTCTCGCACCCTCGCTCTTCGCTTCCAGGCTTGGCTTTGGCGGAAGCGTTGCAACTCCTGAGAGCCAAGCAGCTGCACCCTTCATACGTCTCATCTTCCTCCCGCACTCCCCTCCCCCTTCTCATTGCGCCTGATCCTCTCATCTCGTCGTCCGTCCTCGTCCTACTACCACCACCACCACAAAGGCTGCACACGTGCATGCTCCCCCACCACCTTCGTTCGCCATTGTCCCGACCATCTCCTGCATCGAACGACGCCAAGTCACGCTTTCGGTCCGCGACGCCGGCGACAAGTTGCCTCTGCCTCGGTCCGACTCTCGCGCGTTCCCTCTTGCCGCCTTCATTCCGGCCACCGCGGCCTTGGCAAGACGTTTGTATCGATGATCACGCATTGCATCCGTTCGAATCACCGCATGACGGAGCACACCGCCGCCTGATCTGGTGCGAGTCGCCCAATCCTCACGCCAAGCTCGCGCCCGCGCGGCTCCGCCCAACGAGCTCACCATGTCCTACCATCCAGACTCGTTCGTCACCAGTCCCACCTCGGCCGCCGACGACCCCGCCTGGCAACTCCACTCCAGCACCGACTCCTACCTCAACTGGGACGCCAATCCAAAGTCGCCGCTCAGCCATCCTCACGATGCCACCCTGAGCTCCACCCCAGCCACAGCCCCTCCCATGTCGAGGTTGCGCTCCTCCAGCTCCACCGCCACTCCGTCGGTAGCGTCCTCACGCACACCCAACGACCCAGGCTCGGCCGACACCGCATCGCTCCTCTCCCACCATGGACATTCCAACAACAGCCCGGAGCGGCCACAATCGCCTTCCTACTTTGCCAAGCTCTACTTCCAGCCTCCCCACCGCAGCTCATCCGGAACCAGCCCCACCATCACCTTCACAGGCGCACCCGCCGAGCCCTCCCTCGTGGCTGCCTCGCAACTACCCGCACTGTCCTTCGAAGGCAACCAGTCCACAGCGCACCTCTCGGATCCTGCTCGCCAACAAGCCCCCGCACGCCGCTCATCCGTCAGCGCCGCGTCCAACAGCCCGACGTCCGGCACGCCTCTGTCGCCCACCATGTCGAGCAAATCCGCCGCCAGCGCAGGTGGCTTCTTTGCTTCGCTGCGCCCCTCATCCCCTGGCAACCTCGCAGCGGCCACCTCGAGGATCCCAGAAGGCGAGACATATGTCAAGCCCCGCCGTCCAAGCAGCGTCTTTGAGCACGTCGGCAACGTCTGGGAGCGCTTCGGACGCAAGGTACACCACACGCGCTCCAGCACCTCCGAGCAGCAGTCCAGCTCATCCTCCCACCAACGCCGCACCGCCAGCCAGACCTCGCCCACCATCGGCCTCACGCCGGAAGCAGCTGACCCCTTCGACAACGCTCACCACTCTCCTTCCGGCTCAATAGCCTCCCAGGCTTCGCCCTCGCACTCGACCGCTACAGAGTCAGAATGTCGCACCCCTGCCACGCCCAGCGCCGAAACACCCGCTTCGCTCAGCACGCCACAGCCGTTGCCCTCCGCCCCCGCTTATTCGCAGCTTTCTTCGGCCGACACAGCCGCGGATACACGGCTGCAAGACGAGGTCGAGGAGCTCCCGTACTTGGCCCCCGAGCCTGCGCCGACATTCGCGCAGCCCGCCCCCGCAGCCCACAATTCTCCGAGGACATCAAGTGCAAACAGGTCCCAGGCCTCATACAGGCGCGAATCGAGTCTTTTCGAGCGCGTCCTCATCCAGGTCACCGACGACAACGAGCGCTTCGCCGTCGTCGACATCTCGGGCGTCGATTCGGCCGATGCTATCAAGGAACGCATGTTTGCCAAGCTCCATCTCTTCGATGCAGACCACTCCAGCTTCCAGCTCTTCCGCACCGAGATCGGCCAGTCGGAAGCAACCGGCCCCGTCGTCAACGACGACGCGCTGCTTGTTTTGTGTCTTCAGATGGGCGACGACCGCGGCACGCTCAAGTTCCTCGTGCAGCAGACCGCGCCGCCCAACGCCACGGTGCGCGCCATGCCTCCGCCCACTTCGGCCGCCGGCCAGCAGCGCGCGCTCAACGAAGTGCGCAGGGTGTCCGGAACCGGCTCAGCCACGAGCAACCATCTGCGCACCGACAGCCAGTCGTCGAGAAGCTCCATCAGCGATGCGCTCATCTACCCCGAGATGGTCGGCGCCGATGGCGCCCACGAGGGCTCCAACCGCAACTCGGGCAGCAGCCTCACGCGCTCCAAGGCACAGGCGCGACGCGCCCTTCCCAGCGCTCCTCCCATCGACGACCTGCGCTCGCCCACTGGCTACCACGACCGCAGATCCATCGCCTCGTCCGGCGAAGGTCATGCGCAGGAGGCATCCAGCAAGCACGCCAGCTCGGTCAGCGAAGGAAGCGGCGCACCCGTCATGCTTTCGCAGCGATCCAGCTCCATGAATGCCACCCAGCCTGCAGCGACAGCCTCGTCGAACAACGCACGCAGACCAAGCCACGTGGAAGACGAAAGGCCTCGCTTCGACGCAGATGCGAGCGCGAGCGCGAGCGCCAACAGGTCTCTTCAGGCACCTGCCAACGGCTTGGGTCATCGTCAGGAACGATCCGACGAGGGCGTCCGGCACCAGTCTCGGCAGCAAGCGCCAGGCCTCACGCTGCACAATGCCAAGAGCATGGATGATCTGCACAGACCTGCGCATGGCTCCACGCACGCTCCAGCAATGATCCCGCAAGCCGAAGTACGTGCGCAAGCCGGTCTGGACCGCGACGGGCGGTATCCTGCTCCGTCGATCATGCGGCCCTCGACAGCCGCTCCTGCTGGACCAGGCGCGCGCGATGGAGGCCACGGACATCGTCAGTACAGCTCCGACGCGCTAGGCACCTCCCAGGGTCCCGTCGATCCGGCGTCTCTCGATCCGCGCATGTTGCAGCGCAATCGCAGTGCACAGGCGGCGATCCCAAGCAGCCAGCAGCTCGCCAACCACGGTCCGACGCGGATGGCCAGTACTCCGCAGATCAGGTCGCCTCCGATGCAGCCCAACTATCCTGCGCGAGGGCCTGTCGATTCGCGCTACGCTCGCCCGGCAGGCATGGAAGATCCGCGCTATGCCGGGATGCCCACACATCCAGCACAGTCGCTGCAGCCACGCCCGACCAGTCCGGCAGCCAGGCCGCCGCAGTTCAACGCGCCCTCGACGTACGGCGGGCCCAACTCGTACTCGGTCCAGTCGTTTGGGCAGGCCCAGCGACCCTTGGCTCCGGGCTATGTCAACGAATTTGGCGCCCGCGCTCCCAACGCCGCCCCCAATTTCAACACCTTTCACGGCCACGATCCGCGACTGGGCGCCAATGGCATGCAGGGCTCCCTTACGCCCCGCCCGTACTCGTACCACGAGGCGTCGTCGACGCATCACCCATCGTATCGACCGTTCAGTCCGCAGCTTGCGCCTTCGCCGTACCGCACACGCGAGGATCCGTTCACGACACGCTACTTTCCGGCTTCGAGCTCGAGGCAGGTGTCCGAGTTCCAGATGCAGGCAGGTCGCTTGGAGCCGGGCATGACGGTACAGCAGACGCTGCGCACGCACGAGGTGATGCGCAACCAGGCGGTGTCCGGTCCTCAGGGCCAGGCGTACCTCGGCCATGCGCACCCGCCTGGCCCTTCGTACGGGCCGCGAGATCCGCGTCAGCCCGGTCAGCCCAGCCAGTACATGGGCATGCAGCCGTATCCCAACGCGTCAGCACCGCCGTCGATGCCGTCGATGCCGCAGCGGAGCAGCCATCCGTCGTCAGCTCATCCGAACCCGCACCATGCGCCGTCGTCACGCCCGCAGCAGTTCGCGCAGCAGGGCCCGTCGCAGCACGCTCCGCCGCAGCACTCGCATCCGCCTGCGCGCAACGCGCACGACATGGTCAACTCGAACGCGTCCGCGTACGTCAGTGCGCAGCCGCGGCCGCATTCGTC